GTTGTCTTGCTATGAGTAGGGTTCGCGTTACCTTCATGCTCCATCATTTTCCCCTTTTCTATTCCCTCAGGGAAACTGAAACGAAATCAATAAGAACTGGATAACGCAATTGTTGAAGCAGAAAACCAGTGTCTAATCAAGTGAACTTATTCAGTATGCGTAGATCTTTAGGTTACACAGATTGTACCTTACGATTTGTGCCCTAGTTTGAGACCCTTATATGAGTTATGTTGGGCCTTTTCACTCTATTATCGTATTGGTCTTGTCAGCCTGGAAGCCCAAGGTATTCATAGTAGTACTGTTTGACGCTATGAGTGAAATAAGTCACTCTTTATAACGACTACATAGACGGACAACTAGATGTGTCTAGTGATGGCAAATGAGCTCATCAATTTGAAAAAAGTCCTAGCCAAGCCTGCACCGGCTGCATGGAGCTTGTTTGTACTAGCAAACGTTCGGATCAAGCATCAAAAATGAGATTTGGCTCAAACCTGGGCTAGCTGTGTGGTCGTTTTCAAGTCCACTTAGTTTGTAAAATTCAATGACTTGTATAATTAACTTTGTAGTTTTTAAATTAACAATCAATTATTCATATATTCAAGTAAAAAATAAAAATAAATAAATAAATTGAAAAGTCCGTGAGCTGGCTCAGCTCGACTTGACAAAAGCTCGAGCCAAAGTTTGGGGCCAAGCCCCATTTTTGGGGGACTAGTTAAGCCCAGGCTCGGCTAGAGCCCAAAAAGTCCAAGCATTTTTTTTACGAGTCGATACAGAGCCCTGAACTTAGGCTAACGAGCTAGCTCGACTCGATTCATTAATCACATGATGTATCAAAATATACGAGCCATTTTGACTAAACTCTTTGTGTCAATACTATTGATAAATTAAAGGTGTCAAAATGTGTAGGCTTGTCAATTACAATCCAAGCCCGATCCTCATGCTTAGTGTTAGAAAACATGGATTATGGGTCATCTATGTGGGGTGATCCGACCCACAAAACATCAAAAGGATTAGAGGGAGTAATTTGAATTTCCACAATTCCCCATAACCTCCCATAACTCTCATAAAACCTCCAATTTTTTTGTTTAGCAATGTAGAGAAAAAAAGATGGTAGAAAATGGTGAAAATTCTTACGAAAAATATCCTTAAAATTAAAAGGCACCTAAAACCACTATTTTGGCATGAAAACTCACAAAAATTGGCACTTAAGTTGTGGCTAATAATCGAGTGCAAGAAAATTACAGATTTGGAGTTTTAGAAAGCAAGATGATTCAACCATTCAAAAGATCTTGGAATTCATCACGTGAAGTAAATATCTTGACCTGAAATTCATGTTAAAATATGCTTCGAATTATTTCATTGGTTTCAGAGCCATAATGTTGATTTCCTTGCTGTAATACATGCTTAAATATGACATTATATGATACAATTGGGTTATGAATTTTATATGTAAAGTTTTGAAACCTTGTGTGGTTTTTGATGATATCTTTTGATAATTTACTGTTTTCTATACATTAATAATTACGCAATAAAATTAGTATTGTTAGAAAGGTGTTTTAATAAGTTTCCAACCATATAAATTTTGGATTTAAAACAAAGAAATTATAAGGGTTTGAAGTTTGGATGTAAATATGAATTTTTACATGAAGATCGGTAAAATTCGAAACTTCATCACATGATAACTTCTTCTACACCATGTTTGATACTTTCCATTTGGTATGATTGGATAGATATTCTCGAGACCTCTCTAACGATTTAAAGATCTTTAATTTTGGTTTTGAAATGAAGAAATTATGACCTCCCAAAATTTGGATGTAAATCTGGTAAAATCAGAAATTTCATCACATTATCTACACAGTGTTTTATGCATCCCATTTGATTGGTGGATAGATCTTCTCAAGATCTTACCAATGATACCAATGATATAAAGATAAATAATTTTGGCCATAAAATGAAGAAGTTATGATTTCTCAAAATTTAGTTAAAAATATGAAAAAATTGCTTTATTTTTTTTGTCATTTTCACTCTCGGATAGATCTGTGGATGTTCCAAATGTGGCCTTAAACATTGATTTTGTAAAATTTGACATAAAGAATGACTTATTTCACTCATATCGTCAAACGGATGAACTCAAAACGTCGAAATTAGTTGGGATAACCAATTGAAAAGTCTTTTCGAGAACATCATGATGGTGCTAACGGGCCCCATTTTTTTTAATTATTAATTTCAAAAAATTATTGTAGATTGGTCCTGCACATGAGGGCGCGTAAGGAACTCGATTTTAATTCCCTGAATTATTCTTCATTTTTCAGTATAAGTAAATTAATTTTTGAATAATTAATTTTTTTATTTAATGCTTGAAATAAATTTGTAAAAGTATTAAAAATATTTTTTAAACTAGAGTAAAATTCTAAATTTGTTTAAATCAAGAATATTTATTGAATGTTATTTGGTCAGTGAGATTTTTTGAAGTGCTCTTATTTGTTTTTGAAAATGAAAAATATCCTAAAAATATTTAAATTACCACGTTTTATATACGTTAATGAGTTGTGTGATTCTTTAGTTAGGTTATGTGATCCATTATAACTTGTTTTCAATTTTTGTGTTTGATCATATATTATTGGATTTAAGCACGCTTACATAAATATTTTTGTGACAGTTTTTTTGTGATAAGCAGAATATGAGAATTCTGATGTCATTTCCCATTTATCAAGATTGTGTTGCAACAGATATTAAAATAAGGTTGAAAATCTATATAATAAAAGTTAAATCATGTGAGTTTTATTCTTCGATTATAATTGAAATTATTTTCTTGAAGAATTAATTTGTAATATCATGATATATGTCATAATTGGATTAATGTGCATGTTTATACTTTTATTGCA